ATTATTTAAATAGATTGGATAATGAATAAAGCGATAATGAACCTGAATGTGTCAGAACAACCAGCAAGTAGACTCAACATTTAGTGAATTTATTTCAACCAAGTACAACATCACACGTCTGGTTGTTCAAAACACGGAACTTTAATACGATGGATGGTGTAAAACGTTAACAGTTACTTACAAGTCTGTTTAAAATTAAAGCCAACTCCTTTCTGCGTTTTAGGTAAATAAAAAGGGATAATGTTGTTATTTTTGTTACCAAAAATAATTTTATTTATTTCAAATTATAAAAAAAGTTGATTTGATGAGTAAAGTGTTCTCTGCGACGGAGGATTAAGCCAGGCACGATAAAATAAAATTAGAGAAAGAATATTTATTTTTATTTTGCATTTCAAGAATAAAGTCGAAATGTCGAGAATGAAATAAATAAATAAAATCATCAATGCAACTATTGTTGGCCACGCCATATGGCTTCAGCTTATTGTACAAACCCATATGCTGTAGCATGTTGGGACCTTTTTTTGCAGTAATGCCTCAGCCCCACACCTTCAGGATCCATCAGCTTGATCAATTGTCTTATTTGTCTTGTGATGCAACATATCCTCTTTGTATTGCACACAGGTATGAGCATCAGTACGCGCGCACACACACACACACACACACACACACACACACAACACACACACACACACACACACACACACACACAAAGGGTGCATCCCAAGTCTCTTAGACACATAGAGAGAATTAGAGAAGCGATATTTCCACCTGCTTTGTCAGCAGTTGTTATAGCCACAGCGCGCTTGTTAATCGAATAATGAATAAAGCTGTCTGTCTGCAGTCTAAGTGTTTATGTTAGTTTGCCACAAATCTAAGGGGACAGTAGGGAGCGCTGATACTGACTGATGTCTGTGTGTTTAATGTCAGGAATATATTTTATTTTACTGACATTGTAGATTTGTTTCCTGTCAGATATTATTGTGTTTATGTAGTGACTTTGCTGACGTTACTGTTGCTACTCTAGAAACAATATTTATATTTAATACAAAATTCTAGTCCAGTTCATGACATTTTTCTTGCTATTGTGTGAGTATAATGCCAGTATGTATACTGGAGGTCACATATGTGTGTATATATGAGGCAGGCATGTGGTCTGATGATTCTAGTTTGATTTATTCTCTGAGGTTTGACTTTTTATCTTGAAATATCAACTTTATTCTTGACATTTCGATATTATTCTTCAAATGCAAAATAAAAAAAACCTCCCCCCTATACATTTTTTTTAAAATATGCATGGCCCTTATACTGCTTTGTAATTCTCTCACCCCTAAAGCTGTTACAGTTTGAGGCGTTGTCACTGTCTTGCTGTATTTTGCAAGTTTGATTAGTTGGTAGTAAGTAAGTAAGTTTTGTGAGAAGTGAGGTTAAAATATGGCTTCTCCTGTGATTCAAAGCCATTTGACAGGAGGCAGGCTGTTTGGTAAAAGGCATTTGAGTTATGTAACAGAAGGGCCTTGGTGAGTGTGATAATGATTCAGACTGGCCTAACCGGGCGCTTTTCTGTTGCATAACTAGTTGACACCTCTCTGTCCCTTCCATCCACGCACACACAAATACTTTATTTAATGAACTGAAGGAGCACAAACAATGCACGTCTCCTACTATTACTCCTTTAAAGTTTCTCAAGCACACACTGCACGTACACATCGGTACAGGCAGGGGTATCCTGCTGACTTTACACTTCACACTGAGACTGGAGAAGTATGATCTAAAGTAAGCAACAGGTGGCAGAGGAAACCAGTTGACAGTAGTAAAACAACAGAAGCACCACCTTAAACTCACTGTTCTGTGATTTTGTTTGTGTATGTGTAGAATATCTGATTCTCTTGTTCCACTGTGAATCTGCAAGCAAAAAGCACGTCTGTGCCTTATGTGTACAACAGCATTATACAAGAAGATTGCAGAACTGGTACTATATTGTGTCGTATTTTATACCCTTCCTACTATCAATAGCTTGTTTAAAGTTCACACTCTGAAGTGCAAAAGCTTCCTTGTTCACCCGCAAACTAAACTGGCATGTAGCAATTTGTGTTTCTCAAAATAAAGACTAACTATCCCATTAATGCTGTCAGCCTTGCGGTTCGATGCCTGAGAGTTTTTCGTCTAAAATCATAATTGTTCAAATACATGAAAGGTCTTCCTAAAACTGAGTCAATATATTTTTTGATCATTGCTAACAAAATTTCTCCCAGGTCTGCCAGCTTCTTAGTCACTTCTTAGCTGATTCAGATCCTTAGTTTTGAGATGCTCAAAACAGAATGCACAAAAGATATCTTCCCCCCCACACGAAATGTCTCATTTTCAAACGCAATCATTTTCTTATGAATGTAAGAAACTGTTTGAATGTTTTTTATTTTTTTATTTGATCCTTAGTGTATTGAAACATATGTAGTAGACGTGTAACTGATTCCAGTTTCTACTGTTGCACATGGATAAATGTGCACATTCAACAAACAAACTTTAGCTTATGCATATATAATAACAATATAGGTTTTGGTGAAATACATTGTAAATAATTTTGGATTCCACAGTGGAACAAAGTGTTCAACACATATAAACATGTACAGGTGGCAAATTCATGGAAACTCATAATTCATTGAGATCTTTTAGTAAGGTGTTGTTCTACCAGAGTCTCCAGAACAGCTTCAATGCCCCCCCTCAATGAGCTCTAATACTCTCTATTCCCTTGTTTGTTGTTTTATTACGGTGGTGGAGAGCTCTGTCAAAAGCTACTCTAGGTTCTGTTAAAGGTCAAATGTGTAACATTTAGGAGGATCTATTGGCAGAAATGGAATATAATATTTATAGGTATGATTTTCTTAGTGAATAATCACCTGAATATAGGAATCATTGTGTTTACGTTACCTTAGAATAAGCCAATTTTATCTACAACCAGTCTGTAGATAGGGCCTCCTTCAAGTTTCTTGGCCACCATAGTTATAGTGTCCTACACACTTCACAGCCTGTTCTCCTTACCAGGTTGTATAGACATGAGTGGTGTTCAGTTAGTTGCGATCTGCAACGTTACCACTAGATGTCACTTAACCCTACACACTGGTCCTTTAACTGGGACTGATCGACTGACACAGTGTTTGAGCTCACACTGAACGTAATCTGAGCTCAGTTTTGTCCATTAACCATTCCAAAATAGTTTCATTCAAACAGAAAACAAGAAGAAATGTATTTTCAAATGACTGTGAAGATATGGACAATTTTGCCACGGTTTAATTTTTAGTCAATGTGACACATTTACTTTTTTCATGAAATAAAAATACTGCACTGAAATTAAAACAAGCCCACTATAGTTTAAAACAGATCTTTTACACCAAATGTTCTGGCCTGCTAGAAATCCATCAGATCCAAAGGCCATTGCAGTTTGTTTAGACGATAAATCAGCCATCCTTTAGCCCTTGTACCTGCTTTCAAACGGAACATCAAACAACAGCCAATCTGGCAGGAATTTGTCCCGATTCTAAAATAAGTTGACCAATTCGGTACCTAAAGTATGGCTTAATGCGTACAGTTTTGCATGTCCCTCCAAAGTCTCCCAAGGGTTGTCATCTGGGTTGAGACTGGTTGACTGTAGCACATGATTCACATCAAACATACATACATACATACATACTCATCAAACCGTTTGAATGGGTCTGTGGCATCCTGGAAGAGAGTCTGTTAGAGCTGTTTCATTGAAGGAGAAAGTCGCTTAGATCTTCTCTCTTGCCATCTTGATCCAAAATCCAGGTCCACTGGGCCTGCTCAGTATTTTTGTAGCATGATAAGATGTTAATTATCTGTATAGAACCATCTGCATTCCATATGTTTCTTCACTCATCTGATCTATTCAGGTTTTTCTTCTCTCACTTTGTCTTTATGTAGCACTGCAGGCCTATTTAGAGAGCTTTTACATTAAGCCCTGTTTGACCATTTCCCCCTTACAGGTGTAAGTGTAAGAAACCTCAAAATATGCATTACAACATGTTAATGTAAACTTGAAGCTGTAGAGTTTGAAAGTGGAACTGGGCTTCGTGCAAAAAGAAAGCTGTTCATGATTCGTGTCCTCATCTGTTCTGCGGTTTTCTTCAGGTTTAAATGTCGGTGCTTCGGTTTGAGGCCTGTCTGTTTTGCAGATGTTGCTCCCTCCTGTATAGTTTGGTCTTTCCTTGAACTTTCAGAAACCTCGAACAACAAAAACTTCTCCTTTGCCTCCCGTCCACATGCAGGTTATCTTGACATGTCAAGCTGTTTACTTTACGCACCACTTGACCGACAATAACCTCATACTGTACTTAGAGTATAAAGCATGGCCATGATGGGTCTTTCATTGTCCTTTAAAGACAGTTTGTTCTCCTGCCTGTCTTTTAGTTGTCAACCATAGAAATGTCTTTAATTGAAATGAACAGCAGTAGGTCTCATTTATATAAGCCACGATTGGATCAACCTGACTCATCTCAAGAAATATGTAATGAAAACCAGCAGGATGATCTCCCTCATGGCCACCTACTCATAGATGTATATTTCTATGTATTCCTCTTACGTGTGTCTGTCTTTCCCCCACAGCATTGTTTTCTGTATGTTACGTTCATTTAAACATAATCAATGCCTGCAGGTATTACGTCATTTAACATGATGAATAGGGATGTGAAGTTTGGTCTACTCTTCTCTTAGCATCTCTGAGTATTTGCAGGCATGAGTAATGAATGTGTAAATGTGATTTTATACGCTGTTTTATTGAACCCCTTCTGCAATACATATTTTCACAACGCCTTTGTTACCAGAGCTACTTGGACCAAATGTTATCAGGATATGAAAAACACTACATCACATAAGCTTGGGAGACATAATGTAGTTCCTACTGCGTCAATAAAATGGCCAAAACATGATTTTTTAAAATGTAAAATAATCATCGTGACACATTTCTTTCTTCTTTCCTGTGTTTTCAGGCACGTTACAAGCAGAGTCTGGACCCCACAGTGGATGAGGTGAAGAAGCTGTGCACATCACTGAGACGTAACGCCAAAGAGGAACGAGTCCTCTTCCACTACAACGGCCATGGGGTGCCACGGCCCACCGTCAACGGGGAGATCTGGGTCTTTAATAAGGTACCACACACACAAACAAGAAATACTTTCTTACATATACATACACTGAACACTTATATACGTTTACTGCACAACAAGGGTCCAAGGAAGACTTTTTAGGGATTTTTAAAGGAATGACCTTTTCACAAGATGTCACAGGCTGTGTATCAAGAGTGCAATTTTTTTTATGATCAAGAGGAAAGCAAAGCTCACTTAAACACTGTACTCTCATTTGATGGGTGCAGTAAAACTCCTAGCCATAAAGAGCATAAACACTGTGGTCCAATTCTGTTCACATTAATAAACACCATTTGTGACAGTTACATTTATTGAACTGTGAAGGTCATATGGAGGCAGTGTGTGTACAGAGATAGTCAAAGACATAATTTCAGTCATTTAGAAAGGAATTCACGAGATATGGAATTGCTATACTTTAACAAGCCTAATTTAGGCAGCTGTAAAACTATGGAGCCATATAATAAGTTGGATCATGATACACAGATAGCCACTGAGGCTCAGTGTCATAAAGATCTGCAGTATGTACTCCTTTCTTAAAGGGGAACTTCGGCAGATTTTTACCCGAGTCTTGATCGCTAGATGTCACCGAGTACTGTCAATAGGAAAAACAACGACCAAAACCGGTGCTAGCAAACTGGAGATCCTGCAGCTAATGGCCAGAGCTCCCAGTTAGTTATAATACACTTCTTGGGGGCATATCCTAAAGAGTGCCTTTTTCTCCTCTTAACAGACACAAAATGCAATTAAAATGCCTGTGCAACATGATCAGGGCCCTTACGTGACAACAACATGCCTTTTCAACTCATACGTTGTGCAGAAACCGTTTAAATTCAAAGTTTAGCTGCAGGAACTCCAGTTTGCTAGCACCGGTTTTGGTCGTTGTTTTTCCTATCGACAGTACTCGGTGACATCTAGCGATCAAGACTCGGATAAAAATCTGCCAAAATTCCCCTTTAAAGTACAGAAAATAATTACAAAAATAATCAAGTCAATTTCTATGTTCTGTCTGCTGGCTTTACGAACTGTTCGATGGGTTATGTGGCTTTCTTGGTCCTTTAACTGGGACTGATCAACTGACACAGTGTTTGAGCTCACACTATCCAAAATAGTTTCATTCAAACAGGAAACAAGAAGAAATGTATTTAAAATTAAAATGATAAATTAAGCCATCATCATCATTAGTAGGTCATTAATAAGTAAGCATGTGATTTGATAAGCAATTTTACACACAAGACAACCCCACAAAGTCTTCATCTTTTGTAAGTTACTGTCATGTGATTGTCATGATGTTCGTAAGGAGATGTGCACAGGTGAGAAGATCTCACTAGATTCATGATTCAACAAAATAGCGATGACTTGTTGAGTTTACTACTTTTTGTGGATCTGTTCAACTTTGGCGCTTAAACTGAAAGTGGACTGATGTTCTTTAAGAGCCTAGGCTTCTTGAAAAGTGGTCAAAAATACCAAATGACGTGACAACCAAGCGTGAAAACGTTCCACACAGCTTGCCTGCATGCTGAGATCTCAAGATGCAGAGACTCAGTCACCTGCGAATCGGACATAAAATCTCAAGTTGTTCATGGGCTTGTCCTATAAGTAAGCACCCACTCACAATGATGCACTGCTGCTGTCTGGGCTTAGCTGTTGCCTCAACGTCCCCAGTACACCCTCGGGCCTTATGTCCTCTTCTCCTCCTCTGTTCTCCTTCCTTTTCCTCCACACATTACTCCTTATACTTATTTCTTTTCCTATAAATTGAAGCTGCTGTGTCACCGGCTGCTGAAACTGGAGATCAGTGGGGAATTGGTGTTGAAGCAGTGTCTGGGGAAGTTGTGTAGAACCAAATTTTCCATTAAGTAAAGGGTATAACACATTTATAGCACCACGGTTATTAGATTTATTACTCACTGCCTCTTTCTGTGTTCCAATCATCCTCATTTTTCTGTTTCTCCGACTCTCCCCTCCTTATAGTTTTCTCTTTCCAACTGTTTCTCTCCTGCTCTCCTCCGCTCACACTCCTCATCAAACAGATGATGAGTTAATAATTAAACACATATCTCTAGAAGTGAGTTATCAGCAATAACATGATGCACCGTCTCTTTCATTCGCCCGCCCTGACATCGCCTTTCTCATCTCTCTCTCTCTCTCTCTCTCTCTCTCTCTCTCTTTCAGAACTACACCCAGTACATCCCGCTGTCCATCTACGACCTGCAGACGTGGATGGGGAGCCCGTCCATTTTTGTCTACGACTGCTCCAACGCGGGAATCATTGTCAAGTCGTTTAAGCAGTTCGCCCTGCAGAGGGAGCAGGAGCTGGAGGTGGGCAGCCACACAGACAAACACACTTCTGGTTTACGACATGTCACAATACTGTGTGCGGTCAAACAGGGCAGAATAAACCGCTGGTATTTATGAGTTATTAATGGCAAAGTGGGTGATCTGTCATATGCGCACACACACACACACACACACACACACACACACACAACACACACACACACACACACACCACAAAATCACTCATGTGCACTGACCCTCCTTCACACACACACTCATATGTACTGTATTTATAGGGAGGAGCTTAAAGGTGTCAGTAACCAGTGAGCCTTCTTTCTCAAAACTCCAGGATCTCCTGAGTGCTGTGATCCAGCTAATCAAATGGGCAGCTGGCTCTAAATCATTGAGTTTTGTTTTAGACCTGGGACTACATAACACCCCCCACCCACCCGCCTCCCCCATACACACACAGCCACTCGTACAGATACACACGACTATCAGCCCCAGTCCCTTCACCGCTTCATCTTTTTATTACGTTTTCTCTCTCCCGGCTATGGCATGTTATGTGAATCCCTAATGAGATGGCGCTGTCATTCATCTCAATTATTCATGGAGAAGTTTCAGCCAGACTGTAGATTAGCTGGAGAGAGAGAGAGAGAGAGAGAGAGAGAGAGAGAGAGAGAGAGAGAGAGAGAGAGAGAGAGAGAGAGAGAGAGAGAGAGAGAGAGGGAGAGAGAGAGGAGAGAGAGAAAACTGAGCAGAGAGATGGGGAGGTAGAGTGAGAGTAAAGAAAAGCTGCTGTGAACGCTGTGTTACCCGTTAAACTAAAGGTGAAGGCTGCAGCTAAACTGCTGAGTTGCCGCAGTGTTTGACAGAACCCGTCTCCACCCTCAGCCTCTGCTGCTCTTTTCTGTTTAAGTCTGCAGAGGTCATGGCAGGGCTGCACTGTCAGGGCTAAAGCCGCCGCCCTTATTTTGGTTTTACGAAGCAGAAGTAATGAATTGTTCTTTTGCACTTGTATGTTGAGTTTGTTCAGGTTAGTTATCTGATAATTTTTTATTCTTATATTTTTTGTCTCACCTTGGTCCATGTTTGAATGATCCAGCAGGCTCCATATTTTATTCATCTCTTATCTTGTAGAGGTGTGTGTACCCTTAGACAAACTGTTTGCTAGTCATTATTCAAGTTAAAACCAAAGATTCTCCAAGAGGCAGTCAGTGGTTTCTCTTTATCAGATGCAAAGCACCTCATGGATCTGGCTTGTAATTTACTCACAGTCACCCGTTCACACTTAGTTGTCCATTTAGTCTATGACCTGCTTCGTACATGCCAACTTGTACCACCCATAGGAAAGGAAAACAGCATCACTTTAGATTTTCAAGTGTAGATGTGATGATTGGTGCCACCTATAGGCAATGAAAGTAATAGCTTCTGCAAGTTTAACACTTTCGCCACCTGCAAGCAATGAACAATAGAGCTTTAATCTTTTCTTTTCAATAACATCTGTTTTCTTTGTGTTTATGAAATTTTACATTTAACACCTATACTACCTGGTAGCTAAAATAAAAAAAAAAGGATTATATAATAATATATATTTGATATATTTTATAATATCTTATAATCCAGCAGAAATGCAATGTCTGGCATTGTACAGCCTTTATCAGACAATTGAAATATTGTAGAAAACTAGGAATATAGTCACCTGTCCAGCATTTAATTCATTTACATATCATTTATGTAAATGACTTCAGTGTTGGTCAACCTAATTGCTAATTTTCTGTTTGCTAAACATGAAATACAGACACACAAACAGCAGCTATAAAAAAAAAAGAAAGAAAAACAAATCAAGATGTAACACTTGTTTCTTGTAGGTGGTCCAAGTGTTGAAATTGCAGCAGCAGTTAGCATATCTACTGTACATCTATATCAAAACTGCTGCTGCTGTTACCTTTCTTGACTATAGGTGGCACAAGTTGAGCTAGACCTACAGGTCCAGATGTTAAGGTGTATCAGGGCGATCACACAGACACAACGCTACAGACTCAGCCGCTTCAAAAACGCCTTGGCAAAGCACGTCTGCAAACTGGAGCAGGACATCGCCCGCAACCAGGCAGTCAAATATGGTTAACATGATGCAATGCGTCTTGTGTGATTGGCCCTAAAATCTGCTGGTGCAACACCCCTGTATTTTCCGGTACTGTTTCAAGGTTCTTCATATCAAAGACACTTGCTTTAACGTTATTCTGCCCTCTACTGGTCAAAAATGTATTAATAAATCTTTAATTGAGTTTATGAGACTTTTTTTTTACCCAAGAGACACAATAGTAGCCCAGAAGCTTTCCTGTCTGTGAAGTAAGGGCTGGGGTCAGATGACTGATTTAGTGAAAGTTTTTCTCAATATATTCCTTTAACTATACTTAACAATCTTGCCACAGGGGTTATTTTCAAAAAGGAAAAAACTGAAACTTCAAAACAAGCTTTTGCTTATTATATTGGCTAAAGTACTGCATATTGACAGTGAGTTGGCGGGTCATCTCCTTTGTAGGCTTTCACAGAGGACCAGAAGTGGTTTAAACCCCCAGAAAGGAGGTGGTGGGAGCACAAACTCCTCATTCTTGTAACCAGTTCGCACATGGGTTACTAAGTAATGGGCCACTTGGGTTTCTCCTAAGGCTACGCCCAAGATAAAAGTTTTAGCTGCTGCTGTCTGTTGTCAGTGTAATTCTAGTCAAACCTTAGCTTTAAGAACTGGGAGTGAAGCTTGTGAAGGGACTGTGGTTGTCATAAGCTGAGAGATGCTATGTGGCTGATGCAAGAATGCACAAATACTTGATCAGTCATTTTTTGGAGACAATATTTTACTTTTTCATAGGAGGGCATACTGTGTACTCCGAAGGTATTAGCTGCATCGTTGCACAGAAAGTACTTATTTAAAGGTGGGAGCTTCAGGGTTTAACAATAGTGTTTGTGGTAGGGAATAAACAGAGGAAGTGCCCCAGTTAAATGCATGGGAAGTTGCATAACATCCATAAGCAATTTCACTTTTCCACCTGAGTGCTTGCCCTTCTCACCCACTCACACAGGAAGTGTATAATGGGGAGGGGTAATGGAAGATGAGGAGCGAGACGATCACTTCCTGAGACTTTTTAATCATGCAGGAAATGATCCAAGCGGGGAGTCCCCTACGTCGCCCACGCGCTCCTGCACCCGTATCCCTCTGTTGCGCGACACTCTGTGCATGCACATGGGCGGTCCCGGGGGGAAACGTGCAACGACGACACTCACACTTTGTCAGCCATTTTTAAATACACACATGCACGGTGCACCTGCTTGACATAGCACGACAGGCCTGATCTCACCAGGGACTGTATTATTTGGAGATGCAGTGATTCAGATGGAGACAAGAGCATGAAGGAAAACTGCTGAGGGGAAGATATGAAAGGAGGAGGTGTTTTATCACTCCTCCACAGCACCATATCAACCTCCTCCTGCAGTCCATTCAGTCAGTCAGTCAGTGTGTGTGTGTGTGTGGGTGGGTGTCTGCTCTGAGTGCTCCATTATAGGGCCACCTGCTTCCTTTTAAATATCTCATCACTTCCTGCCTGCACTCAGCAAACATGCTCACTGCATTAGCTGCGGGGCAGAAAGAGGTGTGTGTAGTCTGCAGCACACACAGCTAGGATGCGCTGGACTGTGAGAGCTTGGTGTGTGTTGTGTGTTAGGTATTTGTGTGCCGGCGTTTCCAGGATGCTCACATTAAGCCTCCACTGGCTCCTTCTATAATTTTAATGAATAATTAATGCATGGTTGTAAAATGTATTGCTTGACTAGAGTTGCATTTTGGTAGCCCCTCATGTGCGTGCATGACTACGCCCTTGTGCTGTGATTGTGTGTTTTTTCAATCCAAAATCTCCCCCCTCCCATAGGATTAGTCTCATAAATTAGTGTCACTTTAAAAAAAATAAATTCTCAGAAATGAAATTGTACCCTGATATCCCCAGTGGAAGCGAGAGAAAAGAAAGCTGTCATGGTGATTTTCATGGTAATTTGCAAGATTACAATATGCTAATGTGATAATTACAGTGGATGCTTGGCATTAATCAGCTTCTGCTGGCAATGTTGTCGTATTTACCGTTAGGATTACTGCGGCACGCTGTCACGCACATTCTCCAAATTTCTTTCAGGAGACAATGTTGTTCTTAGGTTGACACAACGAGAGGCTTTGGAAACGCGCGCCGCTTTGTTTGTGATGCCTTTCTCTGCGAGCGAGTCGACATTTTCCTCATTAGACAGAGAGAAGAGGAATTATGTTACAAGAAGATTGGCACAGATCCATCCGCACGGGCGCTCCCGCCTGCAAGCATTTCAAAGAGAAATGAAATATGCATGCTGATAGAAAAAAAGACTTGTTACAGTTACATACGTTATCGTACTTCCCCTCATTAACTAAGACTATTTCTTCTGTTTTTTTAATATCATGATTTATGCATGTGTGTGTGCAGATCTCCTTATAGAGCAGTTCTGTAAATACATAATGTCTCACACTGAGATCTGAGCTTCAGCTGCCGCCGCCTTTCTTCCAGCACTTATTATACAGTCAGCTAATGAATTATTGGACTAGCAGAGAGCAGGAGGGCTGTGCAGTATATACAGGAGTAGTGAGGCATTACATAAATCTACAGCACCTCATCACAAGCCTGTTCTTTTTCTTTTTTTGTTGCTGTTTGATTATCTTAACTGGAAACCGGATTGAACATTTGAATCAGGTTGTGGCAGTTTTATGAATCGAATACTGATGCTTTCTTGACTTTTTGGGGAATTGTGTAGTGAATTTTTCAAGGCCCGAAGTAGGAATCGCACTTTCCTTCCTGTTGTGTTTCCCGGGCAGCCTGCTGGATCATTTGTTTATTTGTTTTCTTCTCTCATCCTCTAATTGACTTGACTCACCCTATGGGCACAGAAAGGGTAGAACATTCCTTCAGTGCTCACCCCAGGTGGTCTGGGGTTTACCCCATCTTGCATCAGATGCTGAGGTACAGCAT